ATGAGGTCAGCGACTGTGACAAAAGCGGCTAGGTCAGGAAACAGGTACGGTAGCATGAGGCGGCTAAGGGCAGCAGTGGCAGGGGAGGAGTAGCGCGCAACAACAGCGTCGTACAGTGTCTTAGCCATCTTGTACTGGCTTAAGTGTGCGTGCTCAGCAGACAGCAGGTGACTACGAACAGCAAGGCGAGCAGCAGCAGTAGGTGAAACAGAGACGCCGGACGTGTGATTGAACAGTGAGACTCTGTCCCGAGAGTCGCACTGCAGAAACAGCAGCAAACCATCGACCGAGACCTCGAAATCGACCGCTCGAACCTCACCATCGAAGGTAAGTACGTTAGGGGTAGCCATGACAGTAGGAACAGTAGTAGTAGTAGCAGCGCAACTCGGCAGGGCGGCTCGGCTCGGCAGGGCGGCGCAACTCGGCAGGGCGGCGCGGGCGTGGCGGTGTGCTTACGAGGAGCGTGAGGGGTGGAAGGGCCGCAACTGGTGGGGCTGGGCCGTGGCGCGCCAGCGGGGCAGGGGCCACGACAAGCAGGGCCGCGACACGGCTGCAAGGGCAGGGCCGCGTCAGGCAGGGCAAGGGCCGCGACGTGTCGGCAGTGTAGGGGGTCGCGACGAGGCGGCAGGGCCGGGCGGCAACCGGGCGGCTACTGCAGTGTAGGGCCGCGACAAAGCAGGGCCGCGGCAGGGTAGGGCAAGGCCGCGACGACGGGGCGGGCGGGCCGCGGAAGGCCGCAGGCGACGAGGCGGGCGGGCCGCGGAGGGCCCGACGACGGGGCGGGCGGGCCGCAGAGGGCTGCGACGACAGGGCGGGCAGGCCATGGAGGGTCGCGACGACGGGGCGGGCAAGCCGCTAAGGGCGGCGACGGCAGGGCGGGCCGCTGAGGGTCGCTAAGGGCGGCGACGGGTTGCTAAGGGCCGCAATGCGGGCCGCGGCAGGGCGGCGACGGGCCGTTAAGGGCGGCAGGGCGGGCCACCAAGAGCGGCAGGGCGGGCCGCTAAGGGCCGCGACGGGCCTAAAGGGTAGGGCCGCTACGGCGGCAGTAGGGCAAAGTGCGAAGCGCGCTTTGGGCAAGGGAGGAAAAAAAAGTTACTAACACGGTGGGCCCTAAAAAAACGTTTCCACTAGGGAACCTGCTCTGATACCATGTCACAAGGTAGGAAACAAGAATAACTAGAAACAGGGCAATACAAGGTTTGTATGGGCAAAACCTAACAATACTGTACCCCATAAGGAGTGCCCCACTACAGCCTACAATATAGTTCTGACACCCCTCTCCTAAGAAAACTGTCCAAAAAAGTCTTCACAATCTGAAAACCAACAAAACCAGGCAATCAGGAAACCAATGTGTTACGTGCCCTAAGTTATTCAAGGGCGAACCAGTATATGTAGACCCCAAATTGTGACAAAAGAATTGAAGACCTCGAACTGATAGTTCTTGGCATGACGCCACCAAAATTTCGGTGGTGTCTTCTACAGCTACAGCTGGCAGCAATCGACATTGCCAAATGGAATCGTTTGTCGTTGGCGAGTCGAGTGGAGCGATTTGTCGCTAGTAGAGTGGGAGTGACACGTCCTGAAATCCTTTGGTCGTGGAGTCATGGTTGTTGCGATTGTCGGTGAAAGGGCGATCGAAGACGATTGGCAACGGAGTTAAATACGAGAATTAGGCGATGGTCGTTGCAAACGTAACCGGATCGAAAGGCAGTATGGTTGAAATTGCCGAACGCATTATCTGAGTCAGATAATGTGAGCACCTCTGGCGGTTTTTTCTAGACTCGCCGAAAAGTTTTTTTGCAATCCGCCGAGATTACGGGGTAGAGATTAATATATTACAGTTGTTTCTCCCCCCCTCCTCTGTTGCTGTTGCCTCCTCCAGTTCATCGTATGTTGTTTGTATCCCTGAAAAATCCGTATAGTTCCCGCGATGTTACCTCACTTCGTTGTAGCACGCGTTTAGCCAAACGCAATAATCCACAAAATTGTCTGCGCTCCTCGACGTAAAATCGGTAACTGCGTAAGACTCCGTAAATGTCGGTCGAAAAAACCCTTGTAATTCATCGGTTGTAGATGCAGTTCGCATCTGATTTTTTTGGACATATTATAGCCGCCCACTCGGTCACCAGTAGTTTCCGTCGATTTTTCCGACCCCAGCATGTGGATGTATAATCGAGAACCGAGTACTTGCTCTGGGTTATTCCAATACCGGATTTCATGGAATCTAATGGCATCAACGTCGTTGACCCCGTCGTCAAAGCTGCTTCCGCTAATGCTGTTTAATAACATAACCCATTTCTCCTATCACACTATCGGAGTCGGGGTAGCCTTAATTAAAAGGAATTCATTCCCAACCACATTGCAACCCACCATGCCTATCACACCACTAAACTCCACAGCTTCCGGTCTCAGCTTCGTCGATGCATCGTTAACTCGTGTAGATGCCCAGGTCAGGAGAAACCAGTAAACTGTACTATTGTTGTCCTTGCGGCGCCCCGATTTTTGGAGTACACCACCAACATTTATAGCAACTAACGGTACGGGTAGTTTCTAACAATGTATATTAATACATTATTCGACACACCCCGTAACTTCCTGCAGTGAATAGCATAAATAGGCTGGTGCTCAGCGACTGCACGGCAGCAACTGAACCGCGGCGACTGACGGGCAGCTACTTAACCGCAAACATGTGGAAAGTGCGAGGCAGGAGAGCATGCTCAACAATAGAACACACATCGTACAACAAGTGAGGCGGAGATGCGTAGCGGAAACGAAGACTGAGCAAGAGAGGAGGAAAGGAAAGGAAAGGAAAGGGAAAGAGATGAGACGAGGAGGTGAGACAGCTGTTGGCGGCTATTTGGTTTGTCCTGCCATCCCCTCCCCCCCCCCACCACTGTAGGAGCGGCAGGGAGAGAGAGGAGAAGACGAGAAAAACCCGCCACCCCCACACCCTCTCCCCCCCCCTCACTGCATTAGGCGCAGCAGGAAGAGGGAGGAGCAGGTGAGCAGCATTGCAGCAGCATAGCTCAGCAGAGAAGTGGCTGCAACTATCAGAAGAGTAGATTAATCTTAGGCGCCATGGCTAGGTTTTTAGGAAGACGAGAGTAGCGAGGGAGAAGTTCCACCAACAAAAGAGGTTGTTCACTATAGATCGAGCAGTACAAATAAGCAAGAATGAAGAAAGGTGCACCACCAAACAGAAATTTATATGACTACAGTATTCTACACTACAGGCAGTTATTGAACAATATATAGAATTATATATTATTCTGACACGCCCCCATAAGTGCCTGTAGGGAAGAATGTGCAGTCAACGCCCCCATAATGGGGTACACAAGACAGGCCGCAGTGGAAATCACAGCAACAGGCAAGTGCAGTGGCAACCGGTGCAGTGATGGCAGATCCACCTATACCAACCCCTCGGCCAAGGCAGAAACAGTAGCAGGTGTAGGGGCGGCAGGTCGCCTGAGGAGCAGGCTCTGTGGCTGCAACGTGCAGCAGGACAGCAGCGGCTCGACGGCAGCACCTGCAGGCCCCTAGCAGCAGGCAGCAGAAGCAAAGGCACTAAAGGCAGGTGGCAGCAGGGGCGGCAGCTGGAGGTGCCACGGTAGCAGCGGGCGTCAGCAGCAGATGCCCGGCTGACTTCCGCCACCCCCTCTCACCCTCCCCCCCATAGCTGCAAGCGCGGCAGTGAGAGAGAGAGGAGGGGGGACGGCTATTGGTGCTGCAAAATCTCTCTCGCCACCCCCTCACACTCCCCCCCATCCCCCACAGCGACCGGCGCTGCAGGGAGAGAGAGGAGAGAGGAGGGCGTCGGCGGTTTCCTGCGGGTGCGCTCCCGCCACTCCCTCACCCTCCCCCCCACAGCGACAGTCGCGTATGGGGCAATAAAGGGCGACGGCAGGTGCTGCTGGCGGCTCACAGCAGCCACCCCGTCACACCACCTCCCCCACTGCCCGCCACACCCACGACCTCCCCCCACAGCAGGAGCACGCACGATAGTAGCAAGTGCGACAGCTGCAGCGGGACCGGAGGGAGGGTGGGCGGGGATAGTTGCTCGAGCGCGACGAGCAGAACAGAGGGCCGAAACGGAGGCGAGACGAAGCGGCGACGAGGCAGCGTGGCCACGAACAACGGGGCGACTAGGCAGCGCGACGAGCAGAGCGCCGCCTTTGCCCCGTCGATCGCGCATGCGATTATGACCGTCGCGGATTTCAACGCGACGGTCGTACTCGCAGCACGATCACAACAAAAAATCGTTGGGAGGGAGGGCCGCCATGACAGGGTCGAAAATCGGTGGGCCCATTGATCGAAAACTAGCTCGATACCATATCAGAAGAGTAGATTAATATTAGGCGCCATGGCTAGGTTTTTAGGAAGACGAGAGTAGCGAGGGAGAAGTTTCACCAACAAAAGAGGTTGTTCACTATAGATCGAGCAGTACAAATAAGCAAGAATGAAGAAAGGTGCACCACCAAACAGAAATTTATATGACTACAGTATTCTACACTACAGGCAGTTATTGAACAATATATAGAATTATATATTATTCTGACAGCAACCTCGGCCTCATTCTCCCCCCCCCCCACCCCCCCGGTTCCCCACTCACGGCCACCACCCCCAACGCCCCTCCCCCCACGGCGGAAGCCGTGGCAGCCGCTGATGGACGGGGCAGTTGGCGAGCGACTTTCGGGCCGACAAGGGCGTTCGGTGATCTGTAGGTGACTCCGCAGGTCACATCGTAGGCATGTGTTCACGTTGAACCATAACTTTAAGACCACCTTGGGGTAACCTACTAAAATGTTACCTCGCGACAAGTTTAGGGTTGGTTCTAAGTAACATAAGTGGCCCCAATTTTTTGAGACGTCGCCTGCAGCATCAGCATGGCGGGCCGTTGACACGTTGCTGTGAGGCCTGGCTATGGTGGGGAGAACCCGCATGTCATGGGAAGCAGGATATTGGCAAGCATGGCGCCGTGCAGCCCGTGAGCTAAGCACCTGCTACGAGAGCACCGGGCAGAGCTTACTAAAGTGCAGAGCATGCAGGTCGGAAGAGAGAGTGGTGAGTCGATGCAGCAGGCCTGTGGGAAGGTGGCTTAGGAGGGCCACATGGAGCATGTGGAGGAGCACAAGGCAGTGTCGAGGAAGTGGAATCGCGATGATGTTGTTGATGGTGATGGCCACGGCACCACAAATGAGGCGAGAGGGCACTCCATTGGCAGTTGCAAACCAAGGCGCATAGCTACCGCTACTAGTCCTGCATGTATCGGCGCTGCCTGGCAAAGCCGCAACTGCTATACCACTCTTATCATAATGAGGGGGAGAGAGCTGGTGGACTTAGAGGGTACTGAGAAGAAGGCAAGTAGCATCTTAGTGAGTCAAACCGCTGTAAGTAGCTTCCCGGAGCGATGCGCAGCCCTGCCAGAACTTAGCTGCCGCCGCAACCATGAGGCCGCCCTTGCAAGCAGCACCTCACCCCGGCCCAGCTGGATGACGTGCTTTCACGGCAAAATCTTGCAAGGGCTGCCCTGCCTCTGCTACTGCTGCACTCATAGGAAGTGCCTCTCGCTCTTCCTCTGGTCTTCTCAGGGCTGGTTGAGTTACAAGAGTCAGGTATCGCGTTAAATAATCAGGGATAGTGGGTGTGGGTGGGAGGCAGAGGACGGATACGTGTACTGGAGCACCTTCAAAGTCGGTGTTGTTGGATATGGGTCTGGCAGCTCACTTTGTTGTCCTTGGCCTGAGCCTGCCGGCTGCTGGTGACGGCAGTGAACATGCTGCTTGCGACTCTGGTGATGGTGGTTATGATGGTGGTGACGCTGGCGGAACAACATTCACTGCTTGCGAGCGCTTTCAGTCTTCATTTGAAAGCAGTGGGTTAGACACGGCTGCGATGTGCTCGCATGAATCAAGGGGCACTTCCTTGAGCAGTAAAAGCAGCAAAACGAAGTGTACTTAGATGCAGCGGCAAGATCAAAAGGGAAACACCATATTAAGGAGATTATGATTTGCAATGCAAGAGCTGCTAATTATCTTTAAGAAAATATAGGCGTTGTTATCAGTAAGCCGGTTCTGTTGTCGGGGTTGACAATCTCGAGAGCATGTCTCAATTTGACATACACTACAAGTGTTATCCCTGTTAGGCACTTCGGGGGAGCTTAGTGCAATGCCATGCAACCCTTTCTACAACCCCTCCATACTGGTATGGTATGAGTACATAGGGTGGACTAGAGAGTCAACACGTGTGAGACCTGAATGCTTGGACGCCACTATTGTGTACCCTTGTCCCCCAGATTTAGCCACATCCATATATTCAGGTAATGTATGTTATATCATGAAAAAAAGTATACATGCTCGTCCAGTGTAACCTGTGATTAAGTGCAGTATGTAACCACCCTACACTGCTCACAGCATAACATTGTGCAAAGTCATGATTTACTTTTTATCATGACTTCCCTGATGAGTTGCCTCTTTTAGTGCATGGCCACGACACCCTTCATTCTTATCCCTTCAGTCAACCATGGTTGTTGTGCCAGGGGCTGATTCTTTTCATCACGCAGCTCCCACTGGTGGTGCTGCTGGTGCTGTAGTTGCTGCTCTTGCTGCTGCGTTTGTTGTTGTACCTGGATGGTCTATGGGCCATTCAAACCAAGGAAGCACCACCTAATTCACAGGAATGCAAACCAGATGAGATTTGTCCACCGGCTTGCGCCATACAATCCAAACCATTGCTTTCACGTGCAGAATTTAGGCTTTCACAGCTTGTCAATACTGGCCCACCAGCATCACCACCATCACCACTAGCATCACCACCACCAGCATCAGCACCACTAGAATCACCACTAGCATCATCACTAGCATCACCACCAACATCACCATCATCATCACCACCATTACCACCAGCATCACCACCATCACCACCAACATCACCACCATCACCACTAGTATCACCACCATCATCACCACCATCATCACCACCATCACCACCAGCATCACCAGCTCCACCAACAGCTAGCGAGTTCAGGTCAGGGATGACGGACGCACTAACATCCCGAGTGTTGCGCGAAAACACCGACGTTGTTGGGTCAGACTTTGCTCCAACTGATGCCCCCCATGCGGTGCTCCGCCCCTCTGCTCTGCACGTGCCGCCATCATGATTGGCTGACGCAGGCTTCTCGAGCAGTCTTGTTGACTTTTGAGTCGACTCAAAAGTCACTGATGCCTCCCCTGCAGTGATGTTGCGCCCCTCTGCTCTGCACGTGCCGCCACCATGATTGGCTGACTCGGGCGGCCAAATCGGTCTTGTGTCGAGCTGAGGCACAGAGCGAAGCAGCAGCAGGGGCAGCGGCAGCCCTTGCAATTGCTTGGAGTGGAGGTATGTCGCCCAGCTTTGCCGCGGCTAGGTGCTGCTTGCACAGGCGGCGCCACGGCAGTGAAGCTCCGGCAGGGGTGCGCGCCCCCTTGTCAGGGCTGTGCGTCCCCCTGGCAAGGCTGTGCGTCCCCCTGGCAGGGCTGTGCGTCCCCCTGGCAGGGCTGTGCGTCCCCCTAGCAGGGCTGCGCATCCCCCTGCCAGGGTTGTGCGTCACCCTGGCAGGGTCGTGCGTCCCCCCAGCAGGGCTGTGCATCCCATCGGGCAGCTAGTAGCGGGCTGTCTGGGTGTAGCAGCAGCGGTCTCTCCAGCACTGGCAGGTGTCGCTGTGCGTCTTGACTTGCCACTGCCACTGCTGCTAAGGCGTCCTGACTCTCCATCATCCGTGGTGCGAAGCCCATCACCACCATCAGCAGCATAACCATCAAGCTTCCGCTTCCCCGCCAGTGCGGCCTTGTGCTCCCTCACACGCTCCACGAGGCCCTTTCGCACCGCCTTGCGTCAGGTCTGCTGAGGCTGACTCGGATTGTTCATTCCTCTCCTGAGGTCCATGCCCCTGTGGCCTTGAACAATCAGCCCAAGCTACCTCACTTGCTCCCCCTCAGCCTGAAGCTGCTTCTCCAAGTCTGTGACGATCCCAGCCGCGGCTGCATGGTGCTCTTGCAGAAGTTGGTTTGCCCACGGGCTGCGCGGCGCCACCATGCTTGCCATGACTGGCCCACCGCCCGACAAATCGAGTCCTCCCCTTTCATGAAGGGTCATAATGATGATGCTGCTGCTGCTGCCGTTGGAGTCACGCTCTCCACGGGGTTCAATTCCTTGAATTCCTTGAAGTTCTTGCGACGATATGGCCTGATGCTCGTGCTCCTGAGGTATGCCCAGCCGTGGAGTGGAAAAGACATATTGGTGAGGCGCTGGGAGTTTACAAGAAAATACTCTTCTAGTAGTAGGCTACCTGACTTGGCCTGCCCTGCATACTGTTTGTGCAGCTAAATGGACCCCAATTAGACCTTCACCTTTTCTCTCTGACACTAAAGTAACCCCAAAGTCACAGTGCAATTACTTTTTGGCTGTTTTGTCGCACTTGCCTTTTCCACGATGGACCTGACCTCCTAACCACTGGCTCGATGTGCTTACCACAGACGTGCGGTAGTATGCATGCGTAGCTACTCATAAGATATGACTTACTAGGGAAGAACTGTAGAAGACGCGGTATGGTGGTGTTCCAGAATGACCCAGTTGGTTCAACCGATGTGGTACACCATAGCACACCATGAATGTTGAGTGCCTCTCAGAAAGCGAAGAAAAGTGCAGGGTTTCTAAGGAAGGAACCAGACCAGTATCTCTGGGCAAATTCTCAAAACAGATTGTGCCATCCCCTTTCGCCCTGAGCTTTCGCAACCTGCAAAGAGCAACATTCAGCTCTCGCTTTTGGTTGCTTCCCGCATGCGGGATGTGTGCAATCTTGCATGATTGCAACTTGCACGCGTTCGGTTCCGTGTCAAGGTTAGCTCGCACCAAGACGCCTCTCGAAACCAAGCTTGTCACCGTCCCCCGGGGCCCGGAATGCTTGCCAGGGACGCGCCACGCGACGAATCCTCGAGGTACTGTACCTTGACCCACACACATGACAAGGCAGGGCCCACAAGCATCCAGCAATTGCACATTTTAGTGCAGTGCAGATACAAAGCATGCAAACGGACAAGTGTCAGGCTGTCCTATAGAGATTCTAATGTCGACCGCCATATCATCCACTCATTGGAAACGGACAGCGTGCTAGCCAGCTGTCATCCCGTGTAATGACAGCGGCTAGTGTCTGACTCTCAAACTAGTACTAGCCGTTTGGAACGCCTACTACATAAAACGTTAGCTCATACAAGATGAGCAGTTCAACTCATAACGCTGAATTGACAAGCAGCACATCCCTTGGCTAAGAAAAGGACCAACGGGATGCTAGAGTGGAAAGCTAGTAACAACCCGGACTAGATCTGACGCTTGCTACGGTAAAGGGCCAGCGAATGACATGTAAACGCGACGACGAACAGGCATAAGTGTGATTGTTGTATGACCAACAAAAAGGTGAGAGTTTGGCACAAACAGATTGCATCTACACTACAGATTCGGTTTGGTACTGATTCGTGATTGTAACTACAAGGTGCTAGCTGACTTGGACTAGGAACGTCTTGCAGGGTGACAGATTACTAATCTACCCCTACTAGGGGGGTGTTGGAACTTGGAAGTGAATATCTACCCTAGGATCGAGGGTTCCGACCACCAGGATTTTCCACAAGGTGTCAAATGAGTACAAAATATGAGCGAAGGCATGAGCGAATACTTGTGGGCAAAACATGCAAATGGTAACACCGTAAGTGCGAGCTAGCTAGTGCTACACTGGCGCGAGGTTCGGGCTAGTCCCGAAGCATAGGCCGACTCGGCTGCTCCAGTAGTGGGAGGTTTGGTGAAACAATGCGCGCAAAGTTGGCGAAGCCCCGTTAACAATAACGAGCGAACAACGGTTGCTGTTGTACGCGATGTTGATGGTCGCGGTAAGGAATGTCGAGAAAATTCCTTACACTACCCCCCCCCCCCCCCCCTCAAGAAGCCCCCTCCGCTACACGAGTGCGTGTATATCGCAGAAACCCCGGCTCTTCAGGTACACTTGCAGGGCAGGGTGGTTTTTTATGTTGGCCAAGGGCACCCACCTATCCTTGGTTGGCATGCGGTCCTTCCAGTGAACGAGGAACTCGATCCACTTGATGCATGTGGGATGGCTAATCCAAAGTGCGGAGCCTCTGACACACCGCGATCAAAGCCACAATTGGCTCGAATCTCGCACGCAGACCTGCGCACCACGCATCCCACGTGCGATACTTGGGCACTTCCACGAAATATTACGGCGCCCAGGGTCCGATTTGTCCTTCCCATGTGGGTAGAGTCTGGTAGTCCGTCGGCTTAGTGACAATGACGCGCCACCAGTCCATGGCGGGTCGCAGCAGCGACACGGCGTAGCGAATCTTCGCCGAGTCCTTTGTGACATAGTTCGCGTCGAAAAACACGTTCATGTGAATAACCACGCCTGAACGGTAGGATCACATCGGCTTTGATGCTGGGTGAGTCATGGATGGCGGGCGGTGACGGGGCAGTTGGCTCGTGGTTGGGATGTAAGGGCGAAGCAGGCTGACGTGGAATGATGGACTGATGTACCAGTCTGTCGGCAACAGTATGTGGGCGGTAACTAGGGTGATCATGTGGCTGATTTGGAATGGTCGGCAGTAGCGCGGTCGTAATTTTGGCGCGACGGGCAATCTTAAGTTCTGTGTATCGAGCAGTACGTAATCTCCTGACTGGTATGTGACTGGGCGGCGGTGGCGGTCAGCGTTGCGTTTTGTGATGACGTTGGCTCTTTTTTATTCCTTTTGCGGCTCTTGTGCGGGCAGCTTGCAGGATCTCGGCGAATTGCTGTGCGCGTGGCGTTTGTCAGAACTTTATATAGCTTATGCTGTTGTGTAGGCTATAGCGGGGTATCCCATAGGGGGTACAACCCAATTAGGGTTTCCTATATGTACTCACTTCATTCATAGTTCATTCATTCTCGTTTTCTTCTTCTCATGGAATCAGAGCAGGTCCCCTCCTAGGGACTGTTTCTAGGGCCCACCGAAGCGCGCCCCGAGGCGCGCTTTCTTTTTTTTAGCGACCCTCCGTGTCGCCCCTAGCGGCCCTTTGCGCCGCCCTCACCTACGCGGCTCCGCCGCCCTTACGTCGCGGCCCCGCCCCTTACCTACGCGGCCCCGCCGCCCTTACCTACGCGGCCCCGCCGCCCTCACCTACGCGGCCCCGCCGCCCTCACAACGCGGCCCCGCCGCCCTCACGTCGCGGCCCCGCCGCCCTTACCTACGCGGCCCCGCCGCCCTCACGTCGCGGCCCCGCCGCCCTTACCTACGCGGCCCCGCTGCCCTCACGTCGCGGCCCCGCCGCCTCACCTACGCGGCCCCGCCGCCCTCACGTCGCGGCCCCGCCGCCCTTACCTACGCGGCCCCGCCGCCCTCACGTCGCGGCCCCGCCGCCCTCACCTACGTGGCCCCGCCGCCCTCACAACGCGGCCCCGCCGCCCTTACCTACGCGGCCCCGCCGCCCACACGTCGCGGCCCCGCCGTCCTCACCTACGCGGCCCCGCCGCCCTCACGTCGCGGCCCCGCCGCCCACTCCTACGCGGCCCCGCTGCCCTCACCAACGCGGCCTCGCCGCCCTCACCTACGCGGGCCCGCCACCTCACCTACGCGGCCCCGCCGCCCTCACCAACGCGGCCCCGCCGCCCTCACCTACGCGGCCCCGCCGCCCTCACCTACTCGTGTCGCCTCCTGTCTCACGAGACTCTCCGGTGGCACCACCATCTTGGCCACCCCTCCTTGCCTCGTCTTCGGGGCATGGCTTCCCGTGTCCTTCTCTCTGGTCTCCCCCGGTCTCTCCCTCCCCTTCCTTCGGGACCAAGACCTTCCCGTGTCCCCTGTGTCGAGGGGCGCCTCCGGGCTGCCCCTCACTCTTCCCAGTTTCCCCCGACAGAGGCTCCTCCGCAGATGCTTCACATGGACGTGTGGGGCCCGGCCCGCGTCCGTGGGCAGGGTCACGAGCGCTACTTCCTGCTGGTGGTTGACGACTACTCGCGTTACACCACAGTCTTCCCCTTGCGCAGCAAGGGTGATGTCACTGAGGTGTTGATCGGCTGGATCCGCGCAGCTCGTCTCCAGCTCAGGAGGAGCTTCGGCTCGGACATTCCTGTTCTGCGTCTGCACTCTGACCGAGGTGGGGAGTTCTCCTCTAACCTTCTGCGGGCCTATTGTCGTGCACGGGGCATCCGCCAGACCTTTACGCTTCCGGACTCTCCACAGCAAAATGGGATTGCTGAGCGCCGCATTGGCATGGTCATGGACGTCGCTCGTACGTCCATGATGCATGCGGCTGCCCCCCATTTTCTGTGGCCGTTTGCGGTTCGGTACGCGGCGCATCAGCTCAACCTTCACCCAAGGGTCTCCCGGCCGGAGACCTCCCCAGCTTAGCTGTGGACGGGGAAGGTCGGCGATGCGTCTGCGTTACGTGTCTGGGGATCTCGGGCGTTTGTCCGCGACTTGTCTGCGGACAAGCTGTCCCCTCGTGCTGCTCCCTGTGTCTTCCTAGGCTTCCCCCCCTGACGCCCCAGGGTGGCAGTTCTACCACCCCTCCTCTCGTCATGTTCTGTCCTCCCAGGACGTCACATTCGACGAGTCAGTCCCCTTCTACCGTCTCTTCCCCTACCGCACTCCTTCCCTCCCCCCGCCGCCACACTTCCTTGTGCCAGGTCCCCCCCCGGTAGACCCCCTTCCCCCTCAGGGTCTTGCACCTTCTGGTGTGTCCCAGGTTGACGCAGTCGAGCCGGTCGAGATTGCTGGTGACTCTGGTACTGCTGCAGGTGCTGAGCCTGGGGGTGCTGACTCTGGGGGTGCCGTGCGCGTGGGTGCTGAGCCTCGGGGTGCTGAGTCTGGGGGTACTGCGACTGGGGGTACTGAGCCCGGGGGTGCTGAGTCTGGGGGTGCTACGTCAGGAGCTGCTGAGCCTGGGGGTGCTGCATCTGGAGCTGCTGAGCCTGGGGGTGCTGAGTCTGGGGGTGCTACGTCAGGAGCTGCTGAGCCTGGGGGTGCTGCGTCTGGGGCTGCTGAGCCTGGAGGTGCGGAGCCTGCGACCGCTCGACCTCCCCTTGTGGTGTCTGGCGGCGTGGGCCTGGAGGTTCT